TGCATCGGGCGGTCTTGCTGGTCTTGTTTTACCTGTCGAAATGTCTTGTAACCGGGATTCCGAGCCTGATCGGGTCTTCCCGCTAGAAGGAATATCCTTCGTTGACCGTGAGAGCTTGTGATGGGCTAAGTTGGGACACCCCTGCAGGGTTTTGAACTTTTGAAAGCCATGCCCGCGGTTATGGGCAGATGGGAATTTGTTAATGTCCGATTGTAGAAAACCTGAAGTTGACCTTAATTAAAATACATCAACCGCGTGTGTTACCGTGATGGTCTCTTTCCGGCGGAGTCCGGGAAGTGAACATGTTGTTGGAGTTTTGTTTGACGTAGGTTGTTCTAGGATCACTTCTTGATCATAGTTTCTCGACCGTGCTTTGCCTTCTCTTCTCTCTCTCATTTGCGTACGTTAGCCACCATATATGCTAGTCGCTTGCTGCAGCTCCACATCATACCTTTACCTTACCCATAAGCTTAAATAGTCTTGATCGCGAGGGTGTGAGATTGTTGAGCCCTTGTGACTCACAGATGCTTCCAAAACCAGTTTGCAGGTGGCCCAACCAAGCTCAAGGAGGAGCTCGATGGAGATCTTGCCCTTTGTGTTGTTTCGTTCTAGTTGATCAGTAGTGGAGCCCAGTTGGGGTCGATCGGGGATCTGTGTAGCATTTGGGGTAGTCTTCTTTTATTTTGGGTTCCGTAGTCGGACCTTGATTGTATCTGGTTGATGTAATGCTTTATTCATGTAATTGTGTGAAGTGGCGATTGTAAGCCAACTATGTATCTCTTTCCATGATGTATTACATGGGTTGTGTGAAGATTACCTCACTTGCGACATTGCTTTCAATGCGGTTATGCCTCTAAGTCGTGCTTCGACACGTGGGAGATATAGCCGCATCGAGGGCGTTACATATCCCTCCGTGACGGAGGAGACCATCCACTTGCCTCCCGCTCCGGACATGGTTGGAGAAGGTTGAGATGGAAGTGAGGACTTGGGCGCTAGAGCTCGAGTGTGCGGGAGCAGATGAGCAGAGGAGGAAGAAGGCGTGGATAGAAAGGTGAATCATTATCCCTTTATATGGGCAGACAAAACTAAGCGTCCCCACTTGCCTGGTAAAACTCGCTTATCCCCAAGCGCCGCAATTGATGGCGCGGTTGGGTTACCCACGCCCGTATTGATGAGAATCCCGTAATAAGGGGACACGATCTCTGCTTTGACAAGATGTGTCGAAAAACTGCCTCGCGTTATGTGCGGGGCTGGTTAAAAGAAACAGTTTGAATGATCATCGGGCCATGACGTAATGTCATGTTGCCAAAACAAGCTAGTGGATTAGATATGCAAAAACATTATTCTCTCTACGGTGAAATATGGAACTTATTTTGCAGGGTTGGACACTATCCTCGTATTCAAATTCTTCTGTGATGTATTCGGAGAAGGAACCCGCCTTGCAATGCCGAAGACAACTGCGCGTCGGACTCATCGTCATTGAAGCCTGATTCAGGGGCTACTGTGGGAGTCCTGGATTAGGGGGTCTCCGGACAGCCGGACTATCTCCATTGGCCGGACTGTTAGACTATGAAGATACAAGATCGAAGACTTCGTCTCGTGTCCGGATGGGACTCTACTTGGCGTGGAAGGCAAGCTAGGCAATACGTATATGGATATATCCTCCTTTGTAACTGACCTTGTGTAACCCTAACCCTCTCCGGTGTCTATATAAACCGAAGGGTTTTAGTCCGTAGGACAACAATCACAACATACAATCATACCATAGGCTAGCTTCTAGGGTTTAGCCTCTCTGATCTCGTGGTAGATCTACTCTTGTAACACCCATATCATCAATATCAATCAAGCAGGACGTAGGGTTTTACCTCCATCAAGAGGGCCCGAACCTGGGTAAAACTTCGTGTCCCTTGCCTCCTGTTACCATCCGGCCTAGACGCAAAGTTCGGGACCCCCTATCCGAGATCCGCCGATTTTGACACCGACACTCCTTTATGGCCCATTAGGCCCAACTACCCCCGTAGCCTTCCGGAAACCCTTTCGGTAATCCAATAATTATCCGGCGCATTCCGAAACTCTTCTGGAGACCAAATACTATATATATATATATATCGATCTTTACCTCCAGACCATTCCGGAGCTCCTCATCATGTCTGTGAACTCATCTGGGACTCCGAACAACATTCGTTCACCAACATACATAACTCATATAGTACTATATCGTCAACGAATGTTAAGCGTGCGAACCCTATGGGTTCGAGGATGATGTAGACATGACCGAGACGCTTCTCCGGTCAATAACCAATAGCGGGACCTGGATGCCATATTGGTTCCTACATATTCTACGAAGATCTTTATTGGTCGAACCTTTATGATAACATACGTAATTCTCTTTGTTTGTCGGTATGTTACTTGCCCGAGATTCGATCGTCGGTATCTCCATACCTGGTTCAATCTCATTACCAACAAGTCTCTTTACTCGTTCCGTAATACATCATCTTGTAACTAACTCCTTGGTCACTTTGCTTGCAAGCTTCTTGTGATGTTGTATTACCGAGAGGGCCCGGAGATACCTCTCCATTATACGGAGTGACAAATCCCGATATCGATTCACGCCAACTCAACAAACACCTTTGAAGATACTTGTAGAGCACCTTTATGATCACCCAGTTACGAAGTGACGTTTGGTAGCACACAAGGTATTCCTCCGGTATCCGAGAGTTGCATGATCTCATGGTCGAAGGAATATGTATTTGATATTAAGAAAGCAGGAGCAATAAACTGAATGATCATATGCTAAGCTAACATACGGGTCTTGCCCATCACATCATTCTCCTAAGGATGTGATCCCATTATCAAATGACAACTCGTGTCTATGATTATGAAACCTTAACCATCTTTTGATCAACGAGCTAGTCTAGTGAAGGCTTACTAGGGACCTGGTATTTGCTTATGTATTCACACATGTATTTAAGTTTCCAATTAATAAAATTATAGCATGAATAATAAACCTTCATCATGATTAAGGAAATATAATAATAATCATTCTATTATTGCCTCTAGGGCGTATTTCCAACAACGATTCCCTATACTTGTGGGCCATCAGACACGCAAGCACCCGACTTGCCTGAGCAACCCACTCGGGCAAAGGGGCCCTACGTGCAAACTGGCATTGGTGGCGCCACGCACATCCCGACTAGCGTGAGCGAACCAGCCGGGGTGGGACGACATGAAGGCACCCGACTCGAGCGAGCGGACCACCCCATAGAGTGCCCTCTCGCATGAGCCGATGCACGCAAGCGTGCACGACCCCGCTGGCACGAGTGACGCACCCACACGGGGTGTACACCCCAACAGGCAGGTCTACCTGGCCCGTCGCGCGCGAAGCACCGCGAGAAAGAGGCCATCGCATACGCGCCCAACGCCGCCCAATGATGGTGGCCCCGGGCACGCACCCGTGTGCCACTCGTCAGGGACCACCGAGGCGGGTTGCCCGGGCACGCGTGGTCTTGGCATATCGGACAGCGCGGAAAGGCCCCTGTTGGACGCCACCTGAGAATGGATGGCGCGAAGGGCACTGTCACCCTCAAAGGCCCCCAGGAGGGTGGGGGGGTACTCCAACATCCTTTCTAGGAGTAATATTTAAGAAAAAGAGTGCTTTCTTAGTAAAAGATTTTTTTGAACGATAAGCTACATTATCGAATTTGGCCCAGTAGAAAGGAAGGTCCGCTAGTTTTGCCCTCTGTGGCCCAGTCTACTCTCGAAATCACTAATTAAGGAGTACTCGCTGCAAAGATCACTCCGATTCCCCCTGTTTGCGACAAGTAGCGCACATGCAGCGCGTCACTTGTCGCAACCTGAGAGTTTTCCCTTTTTTGTAGATCCATTTATTCAAAACGTTTTATCTCTTAAACCGTGCGTCCAAATCTCGAACCACTTTCACCGTTGGATTCCTCGCGTTGAGATCTTCAAAACTAGATCCCATGTTGATAGATTTTGACGAACTTTTTTTCACGAGAAAAACTGGACAAAAAAACCGAATGAAAAAACCAAACCGGGAGCACGGGTTTTTTCCATTTCCGAAATAGGCACGTCTGTGCCTCTCACGAAATCACAACCGTGCCTCTCGCGGAAGCAAAATCGTGACTCTCGCGAAAAAAAAGAAGAGAAAATACATTTTTTTTCGTTTCCAAGGAGGCACGGCCGTGACTCTCGTGGAAGCACAACCGTGCCTTTTGCGGAAGCAAAAGCATGACTCTCGTGAAAGAAAAAACAGAAAACGTGTTTTTTCCTTCCCGAGAGGCACGGTCGTGACTCTCACGAATGCATAACCATGCCTCTCGTGGAAGCAAAACCGTGACTCTCACGAAAGAAAAAAAATAAAAAACACATTTTTTTCTGTTTCCAAGAGGCACGGCTGTGACCCTCGCGAAAGCACACCCGTGACTCTCGCGAAAGAAAAAAAACACGTTTTTTTTTCATTTTCGAGAGGCACGGCCATGACTTTCGCAAAAGCAAAACCATGCTCTATCGCGAAAAAAAAGAAAACACGTTTTTTCGTGCAAAATATTTTTTTTAATTTTTTTTAATTGAAAAACTAAGGAAGATCGATGAAAAACCAAAATGTCGAAAAAATCCAGAAAAAAATCATTTAAAAAGCCGAAAACGCATGTGAAAAAAATCGAAGGGATCGCATAAAACACGACACGTGGCGAATGGCTGAGAACACGCCAAGTGACGTTGATCGTTGCGAGGCTTTCAAAGAAACGCTCGTTAACTAGTTGCTCTCATCTACTCTCAACCCCACACAGTGTTTCTGCAATGGGCTGGGCGGGCCATAGACCTGGGCACCAAAGTCAACTAGAGCCATTCCGTTTCCGTTAGGAACAAGGTCAAATCTTAGATGCACATCAAAGGCCTTCCTGTTGAAGAAAGCAAAGCATCGGCTAACAGAAACAGGCTACATCTGCGCGCTTGGTTGCGAGGGCGTCCAAAAAACCTGGATGGCTAAACCGGCGCGATCGCCGACGGCGGAGGCCCTGCCGGCCGCGGAGAAGTCCCGCTCCGCGGTCGGGTCGGGGCTCCGGTCCCTCGCCACCGCCGCCTCTGGATTTCTGGATCGGTGGTCGGTCGTCGGGACGGGCGTCTCCAGGCTCGAGAAAACTCTCGGCGACCAGTTCCCCGAGGGTGAGCACTACTTCGGCCTGGAGAATTTTGGCAATACCTGCTACTGCAACAGCGTGCTGCAGGTAACCCAATCCCCTCTACTACGTCGTTTTGACCGGCCCGTGGTGTTAGCTGCATGTTCCGTGCCAATCTGGTGGTATTCGCATTCTATTTTGATTAGGTCGTTCCTTTCGAAACTGTTAGGGTATCGTTGATTGTTTGCGGCAGGCACAGTTCAAGGGACTAGCTAGTGAATTTTGTGTATTTGGCATTGTCATTGATAGATATGGTTAGGTAATTGTGCCTCTCCTCAGGTGATGTGATGGTGGATGATAGGGCTGGAATTCAACTCAAGTTGAGCCACGGCTCAACTCATTAGAGTCTGTTAAGATAACGAGTTAGCTTGGCTTGACTCGTTAGCATAACGAGCTCAGATTCAAACTCGGCTCGACTCGTGTAACTTGCGAGCCAGTACGTTTAATTTGTTAAGCTCGCCCTGCAGTGGCGGAGCTTGAAACAAAAAACTGGGCGGGCTGGGCAGGCTAATCTGAAGGGAATTGCTCTTGAGCTGGCCATCACTTCATGCATAGTGTGAGTGTTTTGCTCTTAGGCTGGGCGGGCCATGGCCACCTTTTGCCCTCACGTAGCTCCGCCACTGTCGCCCTGCCCACATGAGTCTCAGTGTCTGGGCCCTGCCGCTATGATCAGTCTCCGGATTGAGGTGGACGTGATGGCCGCAATGGTCGGGCTCTTGGCTCCGCTAGCTCATCCTCCAGCCGGCCACGGTGACCTTGGCGGGCTTTCCTCTGGTTGGTGGCCTTGGAGGCACCACCGGTTGGCGGCGCCGTCACCAGCCGCCCTTCTTGCTGTCTGATGCCAACTGGTTTGCTACTCCTGTACCCCTGTTTTCTTTTTGTAGACGAGCAGTGGGCATTTGCTTAGACATGGTGAGCTAGTTAAGCGGCTACTAAAACCTGATACAAAAATATAATTCACTGAATCAACTATGACTTGTACTCTTCGCTCCATATGCTTCAATATTAGTTATTCCTTAATTTTAACTGTTCCAAGCAGGTTTACCTTTAGAGTTGCAATGTCGGTATTCCTACTCCCATATAATAAAATTCCAAATCCAGGAATCCTGGCACTTTTGTTGTGCTCTTGCATTATATGCCCCCCACCCCCCTGGTTTGTTTGAAATATGCAAGAATTAGCAAACATTTACAGCAGGGTGATATGCCCTTAGTCCTCTTATCCATGTTCAAGAGTGCATGATGAATGACTAGTCTAATGGATCCTGTGAAACAAATCAGACAACATATCTGTTTGGCATTACTGATTGTGGATTATTGATATTCTCAAATCCATTAAAATGAAGAAAATGAGTCCGGCAATAGCACTGGTTCTGTTTAATGTTTCGTCGCAGTTAACAGGGAAGGGGGTTGTTTCCATATAATTGAAGGGAAGTGTTATTCCTGACACAAAGCAACGGTTAACATCCCTGTGTTGCCTATTTGTTAGCATAGATGTATTATTGTGGGCCTTTTGCCTAGTACTGTTGATAGCATTCACTGTTTTCTGATCAGGATCATCTTATACAAATGAAAAATATTATCCGTTTTCAATTATTTGTTATCCATGTTCAGTTTTGGTTCCTGTTGTCATTTGTTATTTTAATAAATTATTGGTTCTTTACCCAGACCATCCGTTCATGCTTGCTACAAGTACTGTGCAGTTATCGGTGTGTCATGTACTATATTAAATATGTCCAAATTATACTTTTATTTCAGGCACTTTATTATTGTATTCCGTTTCGGGAGCAGTTGCTGGAATATTATGCAAATTACAGGAATCCAGGAGATGCTGAGGAAAATTTGTTGACCTGCTTGGCAGATCTTTTTGCGCAGGTGAAAATACAAATACTGTTATTAGCTGATATACTGCTACATTTGATAGGTTGTTGCTCTAAAAAATCAATTAGGGTACCCACTCTATCACTAACTAGTCAGTGCACACATGGATTCCATGTCATCATAAAATTTAAAGATGGTAATCTTGAAGATTATTGGTTTTACTAAAAATATATGCTTACCAATAGATTGATTTTTTTCTCATACACGGTTCAAATCACTGTGTCGTCAAGTCATGAAGGGAATGGGAGTCAGTTTTTTTAGTTTTTTTTGGTGATTCTTAGAGGAGATTATGGTAAGTAATTAGAATTCTGATAGAAATTAATGGATAGCAGAACCAACTTAATGACTGAGCTATTTGATTCCATTAATCAGAGGGTTATAAACTGTGGTTTGACAGAAAGTAGGGCAGAGGTAGCAAAAACTGAAGAATCCATTCATGCTTTTTGTATCTGTGGTGTAAAGATAGCAGGTCCTCCAACAAATCAAGTAATCAATCATTCGTAGTTTTGACCATCAGTATGTTGAAACTAAAAATAATCTAGATGTTCACATGAACTGGGATCCACAAATTTTTGAAATATACTTTGATAATCTATATTTTTTGGTGATTGATAAGTTATGATGATTTTGTTCAAAAGAATAAAGTGGCAGCAGCAATTCATTCTAGATTTTTTTTCGGAAACACTAACGCCCACACATGTGGCAACATTGCAACTCGCCCACACGCCTGGATCACCGTACAGTTAAGTTTGCACGAATCTTGACACACCGAGGCAGTTTTCGTGTGCCACGTAGGACAAGGCCGGTGTGTGGGCGTTGGAGAGGTCGCCCACACGCCTCACAGCACGTGGTTGCCAGCTGCGCTGTGTGGGCGAACTAGTTTCTGCCCACACAGCCACCACCTAGTCCACGCGCGTGTGGGCGAACTGCTTTTCGCCCACACGACAGTCGTACGTTGTTGGATGGCAACTGCAGTTGCGCGTACTGGCAACTAGGTAAACACACATGGCAATTATGATTCGTTTGCTAGACGGCAACTGCAGTTGCGCGTACGTGGCAATCAGGTAAACATACATGGGAACTGTGATTAACCACACGTGGCAACTAGGTAAACACACACGACAACTATTGTTTGACCATATGTGGCAAGTAGTTAATCACACACAACAACTATGGTTTGATTACACATTTACACGTGGCAACTACCATAAATTAGACATGGCAACTATAGTTAACCAAAACAGAGAGAGTTGCCATGCTTTTACAACCATATTTGCCATCCCGGATAACTACATCTACCATCCCGGATGGCAACTAAATCGTCATCCCGCGGGTACCTATTTTAGCTGCGCCAGGACGTGTGGGCATATTTTGCTTCGTGCCACACGCGCAGGGTGGGGATGGGTAGTACTTGTTGGGCGTGTGGCACGAAGTAGCTGCGCCCACACGTGTGGGCAATTCTACTGTTTGCCCACACACAGCCCGTGTGGGCTGCCCCCTGCTCATGCCACACACGGTGTGTGGGCGAATACCTATTATGCCACACATGTGGTGGATATCGGCGTCCATTTTTTTCTTACAAAAAAGTCAATTATGACATATTATAACAAGTGAGAGAAGCAGGCAGCAGTTAAAGTGATACTTTTGAGACCGTGTCAGTATCTAAAACGTCCTATATTGAGTGATGGAGGAGTACTAAGAGCACTAATAAGTACTTCCTCTGTCCCATAATATATGAGTGTTTTTGACACTACACTAGTGTCAAAAATGCTCTTATATTATGGGGCGGAGGGAGTAATAAAATTACATTGTTTCTTGACAATCCGGACTGAAATTTTTCCTCACTATATGGCAGTTTTTTGTGTGCTCACGCATGTATGTGTTTGATTTGGGGAAGAGTACTTGAACCTGAGAAAACTATATTATACTCCCTCCGTTCCTAAATATTTGTCTTTCTAGAGATTTCAAATGGTTACCACATACGGATGTATATAGACATATTTTAGAGTGTAGATTCACTCATTTTGCTTCGTATGTAGTCATTTGTTGAAACCTCTAGAAAGACAAATATTTAGGAACAGAGGGAGTAGAATATAAATAGTGGTTTCTCATTATTTACACTTTCAGGGCAGTGATTGGACACATTATAGTCATAGATACTAGATAGTACCATAGTTAATTTGGTTTGTCTCAGCTGTCAGTTTTGCATGGTGCTTGCTGAAAATTTTAATAATTTTTTCGTATAACTGTCTTAACTCGTAAAAATATGACTTCTTAGATTAACTCACCTGCAACCAAGGTAAGACAGCAGACATGTTATTAGTTTCTACTCCCTCCGTTCCTAAATATTTGTCTTTCTAGACATTTCAAATGACTACTACATACGAATGTATGTAGACATATTTTAGAGTGTAGATTCACTCATTTTGCTCCATATGTAGTCACTTGTTGAAATGACTAGAAAGACAAGTATTTAGGAACGGAGGGAGTAGTAGCTAATGACTCTCCATATTTATGATTTCATGAGCATGATGTTATTTGGTTTGCACATGTTACCTGAAACTTCTGCACATTTTTGTTCGTCTAGTAACAACGGTTACTCATAACTTGCAGATAAGCCTATCGAAGAAAAAGACTGGTGTTATTTCTCCAAAACGTTTTGTCCATAGAGTGAGGAAACAGAATGAATTGTTTCGTAGTAATATGCACCAGGTAACTTGCAGATAGCTTACAAAGCTTATTAATGCTCAGGTATTTATTTATTTGGTAACTAGATTAGCTGCGCGCTACCCGTCATTCACATGATCATTCACCAGGCAAACCAGTACGTAGACCGTGGAATACATTTTTGTATACAAAGGAGATGAAAACCAAAGCTTGACTAATGTATGCATATATAAACACTGACTAAGCAATTATCTTTTCATGAATATGCAAAGCTTGCGTATCTTTTCATTGATAGAAGGAATTAGAATGAATACAGATAATAGAAGGAATTAGAATGAGTACAAATAAGGGTACAACACATGGCACAAATGCAAGGAAGCGTGAGCATGGTGCCCGGAGTAGAGGACAAGGGATGCTCGGCCTGAACAGAGGAAACCACACAGCTGGACTCACTAAGCCCCGAACAAGGGAGGCAGGCCGAACTAGCAAGACGTCCAACATCACCAAAACCAACTCAGGGGACACTGTGAGCGAGCAAGATAGCGCCTTCAAGAAGGAGAACGACGCCACACCGCTGCCGCCATCCGGTCCATAGAACCGGACATAGGTTTCCCCTGAGCTCGAAAAGGGGCGTAGATGAAAGCCGTGGCAGCGCCTCCAAGAAGGAAAACGACACCCGCGAGCGTCGCCGCTGCCAGCATTGGCAAGCCGAGCAGAGACTTCTCCTTGGCCTGATTCTGTGCAATCCCATAGCCTCCGGATGCAGAATCTGAGACGAGGAAGCTGCTGTAGGCCGGAGCCGCCATGTCTGGAGGGGGGTTGGCCGCCGGAAGGTGGCACCTGGCACCACCAAACACGACAAGGGATCTGGCATCAAGCGAGGCGTGGAGGTGTACAGGGTCGGTGGTGCGGCGAGGTTGAGAGAATCGGCGCAGGGGAAGTGACGACGACCAGCGACGCCGGCAAGCTAGGACTGCAGAGTGTAGATCCGAGTTGCATAGCCGTCAGGACGTTGACGAGCTGTGTGAGCTGGAAGGAGCACGGCTACCGAATCGCCGGGGCTAGAGCTGCACCGGCAGAGGACACCGACAAGCCACGAACACTGGAGAACGCAGGTCTAGAGGCCGCCAGGGCTGGAGCAGTGCCAGCAAGGGTCCACTGCGAGGCGCCACACAAACACCACGATGTAAGATTTGGTTAAGAAGCGTTCCTACTCTCCCTTGGGAGACCCGTGTGCGTTTGTTTATTGATGGCAAAACAGCCTTGCCGTAGCGTACAAGATAGATACAGGAGGGAAGAGATAGATGTAGTTTAAGATTACATGTAGTCATAGTTCAAAAAAGCGCTAGGCGTAAATTGTGCGTTTTGCCACCGCCTTGCGCTTTACTGACCAAAGTGTATGCTTATGCGCAATTATGCGCAGATTAAGCATAGTTACGCGCAATGCGTTTTGCCAACGCCTAGAGCCTAGGCGTGCTTAAGCGCTCGCTTAGGCGCGCCTTTTTAAACTATGCATGTAGTGCACAACTCAAACTCTTAACACACGACACAGGCCGGCGCGCCGCCAAAGGCACCCGCTGCCGGGGAATCGACCACGTTGCCTCAACAACTGCCACGCCGGAGCCTCCACCGCAGATTGAGGGAGGTGGGCGCCGCTGGAGACGAGGGCCACCGCACGAGGCAGGCCCGCGACCGTCCGCAGCTCCTGGGTCCACATTCCTGCCAGCCGCAACGCCAGCAGCAAGGCCTACATATGAACCTACAAAAGCACCTACATATGAAGGAAATACATTTATATATGTATATATATACTTACAAAAGGTAATGTATATACAGATAACAATAAGAGAATACAATACAAATCAGACAATTATCAGATCACCTTGTTTATTTGCAGCCAAATCATTATGATAGTCAATGTGGCATAATCTGGAAATAATATAACTTACTCCCTCCGGTCCGAATTAATTGATGCAACCTCTATACAATGTATATATATACTGGGAAGGGTAAGCTATAAGATAAGAGATCATATGGCACCGTCACATTTATAGATTTCACATTAGCATAGGCCAGTGTTATAGTGATGGTACTCCCTCCATTTCAAAATAATTGAAGTTCTAGGATTGTCCTAAGTCAAACTTTTTGACCCAGCCAGCTGCAGCAATCGCAGCACCAAAAGTGAAGCTTTTAGTGCATCAAAAATATAAAAGATTTGCCTGCAAGTCACCAAAACAGCTTGTCTACTTGTGCATGTTGTGAGAAGCAACCGAGAGGGAGGGAGGGAGGGAGGGAGGGCACAACAAGAATAACACGACGATCAGAGAGTAATCTGGTCAATATAAAAGAGTTGCAATGTAAGTCGAGGAACACGAGCAACATGAAAAGATGAAGTGCTAAGAGTGGCATGACTAGCGATAGGAAGAGAAGTACCATATGCGGCAAGAACATGAATACAATAATCTAGAACTCTAATGGATGACAGAGCGGAAGAATCGGGAGTCATATGGAAAGATGCTCCTGAATCAACAATCCACGGGGATGTACCTAAGGATTGGCTCGATGTGGCCATTGGAGGATGCGTGGTATGGAGAATCCGGAGAATTTGATTGAAGACCGAAAATGAGATGTAATTGACCGTCAGGAAACACTAAGCTCCAATACAATGTGAGGAAATACGTAACTTGTATTTCCATGAGGCCGTACGCCGATATATATGCACGTACATGTGTGTTAAATATGCAGAAAACCCCTTATACGAATATGCGATGACTATATTACATGGCTAAGTATATATAACTCTTAACATTAGGGATATAAAAGAGTAATTGTTCCATAAGTAACTCCTCTTTACTCTCTGTAGGATGCCCATGAATTTTTGAATTTTTTGTTGAATGAGATTGTCGATATTCTGGAAAAAGAGTTTAGTACTGTGAAGGATTCTCCTGAAAGCACATCCCCTGGAGGGGTGGCAAATGGCGAAGTTTATCATTTAGCCAATGAAGTTCGAAGGGAGCCGCTGGTTACATGGGTCCACAAGAATTTTCAGGTGACTAGTCGCTAAAATGCAAGAATGCGTTTCTTCCAAGAATTTTGTGCTTATAATCACCATTTTCATTTGCAGGGTATTTTGACCAATGAAACAAAGTGCCTGATGTGTGAGACTGTCACCGCAAAGGATGAGACATTTTTAGATTTGAGCATCGACATTGAACAGAATAGTTCACTAACAAGCTGCCTGAAGAGTTTCTTTTCCACCGAGATTTTAAATGCCGAGGACAAGTTTTTCTGTGACAACTGCTGCAGGTAACAATGTTCTATGTCATTGTCATTTTGATCCTTAATGTTCTGTCTCTCAGAGCAACAATAGAGGCTTTACGCATCAAATTCGAGGAACAAAATTCGAGGAACATAATCCTTAATGTATATAATCTACTCCCTCCGTCCCAAAATTCTTGTCTTAGATTTGTCTAGATACGGAACGGAGGGAGTATATATTTAGTTATTAAAATGATTGCTCAGTGCCTCAGATGTCTGTTTGTTCAGTATGTTCTGCTCAATAGGTTGTCAACCTGGTCCTCCCTAGACAGAAAAGTGCGTCGAGAACTACCATAAGTGAAAAGACCGTTTGTGCTGCTTTATTTCCTTTTAACACTGAAATTGTGGTGCACTGTGCAGTTTGCAAGAAGCACAGAAGAGAATGAAGATAAAAAAGGCGCCACAAATATTGGTGATCCACTTAAAGCGCTTCAAGTTCATTGAACAGCTGAGTCAGCACAAGAAACTGTCATACCGAGTGGTATACCCCATGGAGCTGAAGCTGAGCAGTGCCTCTGATGATGTGGATTGCGAATACTCACTCTTTGCTGTGGTAGTCCACGTTGGGAACGCTGCCAACCACGGACATTATGTAAGCCAGATTAAAAGCGGCGACCACTGGCTGTCATTTGACGATGACAGTGTTGACAAAATTCAGGAGTCAACCCTGCAAACGTTCTATGGTTCTTCTCGCGAATATTCTGGCAACAGCGATCATGGCTACATCTTGTTCTATGAGAGCGTTGCAAAGAGCTAGGAATTTTCCAGGATTAGTGCTAGCGCTGAAAATAATAATTACAGTGTGCAGGATGGGAACCTGATACCTTTTGGTTTCAAAATTTCCTCAGTTTATTTACTGCACTGCAATAGAATATAGAGTAATTCGATAAGTGAAAGTTCGACTAAAGTTTTTCTTGTAACAGAGACCAAACGGGTATTCAGATTCGGACAGAACTTGTATGGCGATTTGGCTCCTGAGCCCAGATGCTCCGGCAATCTGGACCGCCGTGCTTTGTCTAGGATGCAAAAAAGGCCATATTCAATGCTCACCTTAGAAAGCAGCCCTAAATAGGTCAACGGCCCAAAAAACCGTTTCTTTTGGGGTGCATTTTATATCTAAAATCGTGGCTCCAATAGTTCTCCCATATGCAAATTTGCTCCAACAGTTGTCCCATATGCAAATTTATGTAGTCACATTTTGAGGCAGCCTAGAAAACAGACCATTGTGCTGCAAAAGTACATCACGTACGGTTACAGCAAAATCAAAACCACATTCACGTGTGTTCGGAACATTGCGCGGCCGCGCACCCGCAGTCCTTTTCCTTCCTGCGCTGCCACCGAGTCCCTCGTTTTCCTTCGCCCCTCCGTCTGCCACTATGGCCGCTCCCCTACGCAGCTGTGTGCCGCCACATGCCCTCCAGTGACTCCGTTGCCACCAAATCCGCCACCGCTGCACCTCCCTGTCGTCGGATCCACCTTTCGCCGTCCCACGGCCTCGTGTGAATCGATCACTAGCGCCGCTGCCGACCGCGGCGTTTGGCTGTGGCAGTCCGCCCGCTACGCCACCGAGCATTGGCTTGGAACGTTTGACCCGACGAAGCTCGCCGCTCGCGATTTTGCATAATGTGTTGGAGGCTAAGTCGAGCCTAAGAAGAAGGGAATTCGTATTGTCATGGAGCAGCGCGACATCTCGAAGAGCGATGAGGGCGGCTATGGCAAGGTTCGTCGCGGAAAGTCCGCACCTCGTGCAAGCGGTGTACGATTTCTGAGTGTAACGCAACAAGCCAGCGAAGAAGGACAAGGCGGGCCCCCCGTCAAGGGTGATCAAGGGTTGAGTCGGACGACAAGGTTCAACCCAATGAGGATGCCGACATTGACCAGGACAATCTTAATGGCGAGTAGTTGTTCGTGGTTTAAGTTTGCATGTTTGTAATCCAATTATGTTAAGTTTGCATTTTTAAAACTTTGAGTATTTGAATTTAATTTGCAATGATCAAATTATAGATTGGATGTCCCATTGTAGGGCTCCTTTTTAGGGCAGCTGTTGGAGTTGAAAATTTTATGATGCCCTGAAATTACTTTTTGATACATTGAATAGTTTTTCCAAATGCTCTATTTATTCTAGAGCAGTCGTTTGGAGATGCTCTCGAGTCCAGAAGTCCAGATCCCCAATTTCCCTCTCCCTCCAAATCCGACCTCGCTTCCGAATTCCCTTCTACCCCTGGTTTGCTAGGCTCCACCTCGCCTCGGCACCGCGTTTCCGTATCGACTCTACGCCGCATAGGCAGCGGCCAGCCATCGTCCCCCTCCAGTGCCTAGAGTAACCCGCTGAAGTGGCAATCCAGCCGAACTTGTTTTCGATCGGAGCCGGGCACGGCGAGGGCGAATGGGTTCGGCTTCTAAGCCATCTCCGACGGCGGCCGCGCCTAGCCGGCGTAAGGTAGCGCTCTGCCTGACGCTCCTCACCCTGCAGTACGGCGCCCAGCCCCTAATCTCCAAGCGCTGCGTCGGGTACGCCGCGCACCTTCGTATCACCTCGCCCTCAAAGTTACTCTCTCATCTCTAATGCTTGGCTACTCCGGCATCTATCGCTGTATGTCAGTCCCTTCGTGCTGTTCCCGTTCGATTTGGGGAATTTTATGTGCTGGTGTTTGGGAAAATATTTGCCAAAAACATGTACTAGGCTATAGAGTTGAGCAACAGGGTGTCGACTAGGTAATGATGAGAACGAATGACACCATCACCTTCATGGGTTCAACAGATTGGTATAACAGCCTAGCCTGGACTGGTTGGGTGGATGCAGATTGTTATGCGCTTGTGATGACTTATGGCTTTATGATTGTTTCAGGCTGCATCCGGTTAGCAGAATGCTCATTATGTTTAGGGTGTTATGCTACTTGAGTCTTGAGTGGATATATATGCCATCAGATTTTGTTATTTGGCACCTGACAGTGCCTGGGTAATACAATGTTTTTTTAGGGATCTGGTGATAAAATCATAATTAACTCAATAGTCCGATCTTATTATTCATGAAACAGTGATGTGTAAGCTGTCTTTTCAGATGTTATCCTCTTCTATGAAATCATAAGCCTAGATGCAGAGTTCGTAAGGGCAAACCCGTGGGCGTCAACTAGTCGTGGCTTCGCCTGCAGCGAGGTGCAGTGGGCTGGCCCAGTCCGGGGCTTTGCTGCGCGCGTCCGCATCTGTTTGTTTGTTTGTTTTTTTCCTCTTACTTTCTGCTGTGGTTTTTGTCTTCGAAAACACTAACGCCCACACGTGTGGGCGTTACCCAATTCGCCCACACGCCTGGATCATCGTTCATTGTCTTTTGCACGAATCTTGACACGAAAAGGTGGATTTGGTGTGCCACGTAGGACGGGGCTGGCGTGTGGGCGTTGGAGAGTTTGCCCACACGCCCGCACCATGCTGTTTGCCAGCTGCATTGTGTGGGCGAACTGCTTTTCGCCCACACAGCCACCAACTAGGTCATGCGCGTGTGGGCGAACTGCTTTTCGCCCACACGACACTACTACCTTGTGGATGGCAACTGCAGTTACGCGAACATGGCAACTCGGTACACACACATGGCAACTGTGATTCTTTGCTACATGGCAACTGCAGTTACGCGAACGTGGCAACTCGGTAC